ATAAAAAAAACACAATATTGAAACAAGTCACGTTACAATTGGCAAGTTGGGATGAGGCACATTACAAAGCATGTGTCTACGACAACTAGCAACACCACATATTCGAGTTAATCTATATATGGAACACGTGAGTTACTCAATTATATTGCCCACCAACATGTGATTTTTGTATAAAGCTTGCCCTTGCCCCCACCTCAGGCAAAGATTCTTGTCCAATTTCACAATCCTTGTCACATATCAGAGATTAGCAATCTAAACCAATTTTGAAATTTTTGTTTGAAAGAAAAGGTTGGAGTTCTATGCATTGTACATTGCTTTTGCTGAGAGGTTACATCCCTCAAGAGTTGGGGACCCATTGGCATATCCCTCCTTATGAAGACTCTAACCAAAAGGTCCAAAATCCAAATCCAATTTTATTTCATGATTCAAAGTATAGGTCAATAAAGATACAACCTGATAAACTAGTATCCGACTCGATATCTTTCATTTTGTTATCGTTTCATGACTTGTGCAAACCATGAGTCACGCGACTCGACTGACTAGTCTGATATGTCTCCAAGTTAAGCCCAAATCTTCCAAGTCATCACCATCAAATCGACCTATATCACTGCACGACACCACAATATAGCTCTAATCTTTCATCTTGTTCAACTTCTTCTTCTAATCTAGTATTTTGTGGTTATCGCTTGATACTATTTTGCAATTTCACGATCAATCCGTCTCAGGGCTTTGTAGGGATGGTAGTGAACCAAGGCGGCGACAAAGAGAATAGTCTTCACCCCCATCCTCGCTTCAAAAATATTCGTCTATCCCCGGTCCACCCCCGTTAACGAAAAAAATTTTAATCTCCGTCCCTGTCCTGTAGATAAATTTTGATCTCCATCCCACCCATAAAATTAATTTCTATGATTTAAAAAAAAAAAACATAAAACCTCACAAATAGATTTACAAGAAAAATGAAAACTCGTTGTATAACAAATAGATCAAACATAAAAACCAACAAAAATAATATATATAACAAATGTGTGTTTTACTTATATATATATATATATATATCAGTCCAATCTCACACGGGTTTCTGCGGGCATCCTTGTATACGTCCATCGTCCAATACATATAGTCCATCCCCGATTCAAATGAAATGAGTTTGGACAAATACTTATTTTTCTCCGGTCCATTGTCATTCCTAGTGCTTTGATTCGATGGGTGATATCGTGACCTTTAACCATGCTACATGTACTCCATTGTTCTTTGACGAAATTTAATCCATAGGCCGAAATGCAGTCAGATTTCTTCTAGGTGGATCAGGTCCCAAAACATATACCACGAATGTCTGTTTTTTTTTCGGTCCACTGTCATTCCTAATGCTTTAATTCGATGGGCGATATCGTGACATTTAACCATGCTGCATATACTCCATTATTCTTTGACAAATTTAATCTGTAGGCCCAAATGCAGCCAGATTTCTTCCAGGTGGGTCAGGTCTCAAAACATACTCCACGAATACCTATTTTTTTTCGATCCACTGTTATTCCTAGTGCTTTGATTCGATGGGCGATATCGTGACCTTTAACCTTGTTGCATATACTCCATTATTCTTTGACGAATTTAATCCGTAGGCCCATACGCGGCCAGATTTCTTCCAGGTGGGTCAGGTCCCAAAACATACACCATGTATTTCACTGTGTCCTCCCCTCAGCCTGGCTGGAATGGCTTTTCACCCAGTCAGGTCTGACCAAAGCCTGTATTGAATTTAACAACTCAAATTGATTTTTACAAAGCCAGTAACTTGGGTGGCAGCTTTCTCTCTTGTGTGAACGAATAAAAAGCTGCATTGTTAACCCCCCCCTGTATCATGGCTTTCCTTTGTGAAAGAAAAAGTACAAGCAGTTCAGCCTGCCTTTTCATAGGATGAGTGAGGGACTAAACCTTGGGCAAACCCTGACCACTTCAAATTATTCTGTCCTTCCCGGCCCAGTTCAGTCTTGGTGATAAAGGGTTTAGATAAGAACCCTCGGTGAGCTTGGTTAACATGAACACACAGCGTGGGAGTCTCTTGGTGGTTTTACAAGTGCGAGTTGAGCTTGTGGAGTTCATTTTGCTAAATGAATTTAAAAAATTATTCAAGTTCTAACTCGATCTAATTATCAACTCCTAGTTACCAAAAAGATCCACAGTAAACANTGTATACGTCCATCGTCCAATACATATAGTCCATCCCCGATTCAAATGAAATGAGTTTGGACAAATACTTATTTTTCTCCGGTCCATTGTCATTCCTAGTGCTTTGATTCGATGGGTGATATCGTGACCTTTAACCATGCTACATGTACTCCATTGTTCTTTGACGAAATTTAATCCATAGGCCGAAATGCAGTCAGATTTCTTCTAGGTGGATCAGGTCCCAAAACATATACCACGAATGTCTGTTTTTTTTTCGGTCCACTGTCATTCCTAATGCTTTAATTCGATGGGCGATATCGTGACATTTAACCATGCTGCATATACTCCATTATTCTTTGACAAATTTAATCTGTAGGCCCAAATGCAGCCAGATTTCTTCCAGGTGGGTCAGGTCTCAAAACATACTCCACGAATACCTATTTTTTTTCGATCCACTGTTATTCCTAGTGCTTTGATTCGATGGGCGATATCGTGACCTTTAACCTTGTTGCATATACTCCATTATTCTTTGACGAATTTAATCCGTAGGCCCATACGCGGCCAGATTTCTTCCAGGTGGGTCAGGTCCCAAAACATACACCATGTATTTCACTGTGTCCTCCCCTCAGCCTGGCTGGAATGGCTTTTCACCCAGTCAGGTCTGACCAAAGCCTGTATTGAATTTAACAACTCAAATTGATTTTTACAAAGCCAGTAACTTGGGTGGCAGCTTTCTCTCTTGTGTGAACGAATAAAAAGCTGCATTGTTAACCCCCCCCTGTATCATGGCTTTCCTTTGTGAAAGAAAAAGTACAAGCAGTTCAGCCTGCCTTTTCATAGGATGAGTGAGGGACTAAACCTTGGGCAAACCCTGACCACTTCAAATTATTCTGTCCTTCCCGGCCCAGTTCAGTCTTGGTGATAAAGGGTTTAGATAAGAACCCTCGGTGAGCTTGGTTAACATGAACACACAGCGTGGGAGTCTCTTGGTGGTTTTACAAGTGCGAGTTGAGCTTGTGGAGTTCATTTTGCTAAATGAATTTAAAAAATTATTCAAGTTCTAACTCGATCTAATTATCAACTCCTAGTTACCAAAAAGATCCACAGTAAACATAGGCCAAGGAAAGAAGAAAACGGAAAAATAGGACATGCATGCCAAAACCACAAGCATGTTATGAGCCGAGGAAACGTTCCGGGAGTCATAAGTTTGAATAACGGAAAGAAATCTTTCAACATTTAGGGTAAAGACTGCATTTATCTAAAAACTCTTCCTCAAAGTGCCTCGGACGCTGAATTGACCCACCTTGGTTTTTAGCACAACCGTGAAAACATTTGTACACGAAACAGTTGCTTGCATTATGCATATTGAGTATCTTCAGCATTAGCAAGAAGGTTACAAAAAAGATGCTGTTGGATCACAGTTGAAAATTGGCTGATTGCAATAACAAGCGTCAGTACAAGGAAATGACAATAGATAATAAAGTAACTTGTGACAGGACGTTGTTGACATGTCAGTCACAAATTAACACGTGGCATATTAAGCTAATAGATGTATTCCCAAAACTTTCATAGATCAAGATCGAGTGACATGCATCCTCTAGATTGAGTGAATATGACCCACAAGAAGACGAACATGTATACGATTGATCCCGATAATTGATTGTCCTTAAAAATGTGCCTCATACCAAGTGCAATGTGACGAACAAGCATTCTTGTCACATAAACTCAGAACTTATGTCAAACCATTGAAAAGATAGAGGCATGACCCTTATTGGCTGAGAACAACCCTTGGGGAGTATTGTATTGAATGCTCAACACAAATTCATAAATATTGGCAATGGACTGCTAATATTCAGCATAGAACACTTGATGTTCAAGATGATCTGGTGTTCAAGGGACGGAAAACAATAAATGTTAGGTTTCCCAAGCATTCATGAATGATTGTGTCTCATCGTCAACCATTAATGAAGCATGACATGGAGCACTTATTATGCGGCTTGATGACAGTAAAAGCTTAGACCGTGAGAGTTCAAGTGACTGTCACATCATCATATTTGAATATATAAACTCCAATGAAACAAAACATAAGTACGCATGCTAAACTGACTTTGCACTATATAATTATACTCTCTCAATCTTAAATGCCGATTGATTTAAGTATTAGAGGGGATAAGCCGGGAACATCCTCGATCGCTGTTTCGATTCGGGCCCAATTTTTTACGGCCACAATTTAAACCACAAATAGACTTCCTAGAATAACAAGTACCAACTAAGTCTGTATTAAGCAAGATCTGAATCTGAGCAGAGAGGTGTTCCAACTCCACGATTTCCTAATTGTTTCAACGCCAATTCACGAGATTAAAATCATTTTTATTAATTCAATTTTATTTAATGGTAGATAACATATCATTTTTGTGAATAGAACCCGTTATTTATGAATAGAACCCTCATTCATACATGATAGATAATTTATCATTTTATAAAATTAAATAAAAATTTAATATAGAGAATCTAAATTCCAAATTCACAGACATCTCTCCCATTCTTTTCTCTCAATTGTCGTTTAAGTAAAAGTTAATCAACGTGCCCCAAAAACCAGCCCATTATTACAAATTCTCTAACTATAATAAAAACGGATCCAATAACTTCCTTTACATGCAATTTACCCAAAAAAATAACTCATTATATTTTCGCCAATAGCACATCACTTAACATATTAACGACCCACTTACATATAATAATCCCACTTGCATTCATGACAAATATTAAAAAATAAAAGTATTGAACAGTCAATTTCTCAAGTAATATGTCTATCCCGACTCTCTCTGTTTATTTCTATTGTTTCAAAAGCCCAACCGCCTAGCCAAACAATAGAATTTACTGAAGCACCTGATCCCCAAGAACCAGATAAAGAACAAAGCATAACAAACATATTTGTATAATAATTTCATCAAGCAGTGCTTTACATAACCATAACCACAACTATTAAAAGATGCAACACCAACAGCAGATCAAATCCAGAAATTACCAGACTGACATTATAAGTTTTAAAATCCAACTATTGTAGACTAGGCAACACACAATAGAATCGAATTTCAACACAAGTACCACCGTTGTGACTGATGACTACAGGCACAACAGTTTTATTATAAGTTCATAAAAACAGAAATAATAACCCCTCGAAACTACTCCTCCTTTTCTTCTTCCTCTTCCTCTTCCTCTTTCCAGCAACATTTCAGAATGGACCTAGGAGATCCATAGGACACAGTCTTCGTGAACTTCTGGTAGACTATGGAACCACCAGTCCCAAGCTCTTGAAGGCTCTTCTCAGCAAGACAGTAACCTTTCACATCCAAACCGGAAGTCTGCCCGAGTGACTTATTGGCATGCACAGCAATTGAGAACTCACCCGGTTGGAAGCAAGCCAACACCCTTTCAATCAGCGGGCCTAGGTTCAGATCTTTCAAATTATATCCGACTGTTTCAAAGCTTGCATAACTGAAACCATCTTCCGGTGTGACATGAATGGTAGAAACAGCAGCTCCTTCGATAGAATTCATGGAATAACCACAAGGATCAAACTCAAAATCACATATTTCAGAATCTGGAAGAATCTTCCTTATACCAGACTGATTGGTCATCAGAGCAGCTGAGCATGATTGGCTCTTGTAAAAGACCGAAGCCATCTCCCTGTCCAAACCAATCATACACATCTCTAGGATGTAAACTGGGTCAAGAGATTGAGATCCAGCAGAAGCAGAGTAGACATGCCATTTCTGTGGTTTGTCAGAACTACCCATTATATAAGCCTTGCTTCCTGAACCAAGGTTCCCAAAATAACTATCAAGGACAGCAACCTCTTCTGAGAAGCTACGATGTGGATATGACTGAGCTCCAGGGAAAATGAAGCTTCCACGAGTGTATCTCACAGACCGAACAACGAGGGAAAGTAAATCAGCCAATTTCAGGATAGGTGTGATTGATTGGAGCAACTTTGTTGTCCCACAGGTTTTGATGATTATCTTATAAGGATAGACAAAGAGGCTTGATTCAGAGAGGACATAAGAGTCAACATGGTCATTTGACAGTGAAGCAACTATAGTGCACTCAGCAGGTTCTAGAATCTCATCCAACTGAGATTTGGAAAGAGATCTAAGACCCTTTCCTTCAGGATCAGCAAAGAAGCTCGGCTCAAAAAACGAAATTTCAAGCCTCTTTTCATAACCTTCAAAACCAATTGCAGAGATTGGCAAGGCCATATCTAGTAGGGAAAACAATTGCAGTTACAAAGAGAGAGATAGATCTACCGAAAAGAAGAAACAGACCGAGGGGATCAAAATAAAAACCAAATTAAAAGCAATTTATTTTAACCACGTCAACTAACGTGGTCTGGATTCCAACTTGGGGGCTATCAGGATGGTTTGCGAGCGCACTGCACAGAAAATGAAAAGAAAAGCTCAGAATTAGGATTATTTGAAAATCAAACATTATTCTCATAAAGGAACTCCAGGAAATGTGGTCTTAATAGCCTGTATGAGTATATTATCATGTGGACCTTACGTTGGAGTATGCAGCAGATCTGAACTTCTTGATTCCTCCGTTGGGTCGAACGTCCTCAATACTGTATCCAAGGGGAGCTTCGTAGAATAAGGATTTACTACTAGACTTCTTCTTCCCACCTTTAGACTCCATTAGATCATTCAGTCTTCCTGTTCAAATCATCAAACAGAATCCATGAGTCAGAACTGATTATAAAATAATCGCAACAAGAAAACAATTACAGTAAAAAAACCCATCTGGGCCTAACAATTACAATTGGACACCATTAATTATAATAAACCAAAGTCATTTACCAAGCAATTATAAGAGTAAAAAAGGAAATACTAACAGAAAGTAAGGCTAACTCAATAAGCAAAAGTAAAAGAAGCATAAAACTTAATGTCATGTAGACTCCTACAAACAACACAATAGATATGATATCAACAGCAGTTCTCTGTACAAGTTATAAAAACGTTGCACAAAGTATTAGAATCTTGAAACAAATGATGTACAACATCTCGACTCTCAAACAATAAAGTGTACTATATGCCAAGTGAACTGATGACTCAAATACAAAACAATATATGACTGGAGAGTCTTACTCAACCATAAAAGGAAGACTCTTCCCAACAACTTCAACCACAACAAATTCACTAATTCCTCTGTTCCGAAGGACACAGGGAAATAAAAAGGCAAGCTGATGGAAAATGGTCGAGAACAGTTTCACTTGGCATGTTTCAATATTTTCGTCCAATTAACCGAAGGGAGTGCCTCAAAATGGTTTTACACAATTATCCTCGTTTCCAAAACCACAAGGAAAGTCATATTAGTTTGACCAAAGAATAATATATGCGTGATAAAGTTTTAATCTCATTTTGTTGTGTGTTACATCATGTAAACCACAGGCCATCTAGATGTTATAGGTAACCAGATTCAATTGTTCTTTAAAGCCAAGCTGGTGGATACCCTTAAAGCTGACCACGGCTCTTTTCAGGCTTTTTTATTTCAACAAAATAATAAAATCTACACAATTGTATAGAATCATTACACGAAGATAACTCATTAGAGGCATTAGAACACATCCACTAGAATTATTCATACACAACAAACACACAAACATGTATCTCAATGTGTGTATGGGGATTTATCTAAAATAGGAACAAAATCAATCCCAAAAGGTCAGGTAACAAATCAACTACATAAGAAGCGCAAAATATATAAAACAGACAGTATCTCAGCCCTAAAATCTCAGAAAATCAAGATCTGAAATCTTGAAACCTCTTAAATATTAGAAATTTCAAATACATGAATCAAGGACCCCAGGTTGAATCAAAAAGAAATCTCAGCTTTCAAAAACCTAATAAATCAGCGATTCAATTACCAGTTTCACAAAATAAATAATCAGCAAAGCCCCAATATATTCCTTCTAATTACTAAAAAAGGAAAATCTTACATAAACGCAAACAGGCGCACACATACACATAGATAAGTACTATCACCAGAATATCAGAATGTTCATACATATATCTTCAATATTTACGATCCCAGAACTACAAATGGACAGACGCCATACGAATTTTACGGACCAAGAAATTAAAAAATAAACTTACACAAGAAGTATCTGCCAAAGAACAATAAAACTATACTAAATAGCCATACTTACAATATCAGATTGGAAATTGAACCAACGACCGATAAACAATCGCAATCTTCCTCGCAGAAACCCTAGAAACTGCACAAAACATGAATCAGGAAAAAAAATCCGAATACTGATACAGCACATATAGGCATCTGTGTATTGATTTGGCGACACTTACAGATACAAATCTTGTGATGGTGATTCAGAAGATATTCGAAACTCCAGAAGATGGACGTGCTAATGTGTGTGAGGGGGTTAACTTGCCGTTCTGGTTTTTCTATTGTGAGAAGCGAGCTTAGCATGAACGGCAAAGAAGGGAATAGGTTGAAGTTATATATGCGGTGAATAGGTATTTGCCATTAGTGTTTTGTGATATTACGGTCATGCCATTCCGATTTCGTCGAAGTTTCACGTTGACCAATTAAATGACTAAATTACCCTTGGAAGTGTGACCTGGCCACCGCCATTGAATAGAACGACTTGAGCCACCAAACGGCTGGAGGGATGAACAAGCCGAAATGACTAAATTGCCCTCGGAAGAGTTTGAATTTGTGATCATTATACTTGCTAGAAAAAAAAAACATTATAATGACATTACAATCTCAAGACCTACTAATTTGGATTTTTTAAATATTTCAAAATGCTTACTAAAATATTGAGTGAAGGATAAATCTCTTATATCTGATTTCAAGAGATTGTCAAAATTTAAAATTTTTAAATTTAGAACTCATTTGTTATAATTGAAAGTAACTCTTAGGATAGAATGCATAAGCTTTTGAAATACGTGAACATGATCAATTTTATCGAATATTTTTGAAGCGAACCACCTATTTTTGTGGACATTCAATAAGAGATGAGAAAGAAATTCTTTAAAATATATATATTTTTTTAATTTTATCGAATATCCTTAAAGTGATCCACATATTTTGTCAATGTCCACATAAAGGATGACAGAGAAGTACATTTAAAAAAAGGCAAATCATTTTAGGTGGGAAGCTTGAAAGCATTCGTGGGTCTTCAATCATTTGAAGGATACGTTCATGCATCTTATGCTAAGAAATTATTCACATTAAAAAAAAAAACGAATATGAGTTGTCCACACTTCATAAGCTTTAATTCAAATTCGTCACAAAGTCTAGTTTATTCAATTATTGTGGTTTGTGAGTAAGTTTGTGAATGAATTAGATTTTAATCTAAATTCGATCTAAATTTAAATACAATTAGTTAGATATGAATTTATATTTTTTTAACAATAATTCTGACTCGAATTCAAATTCAGTATTTTATATGTACACAAATTTGATATACCTACATACATACGATTCGATTATGATTCAGTTCAAATTATTTATATATTTGTATATAAATAAGTTAAAAGTTATCAGGATTGGATCGAGTCGAATTTCAGATTGAAATTTGAAATTATTAACGAATTCGAATATAGACCCACAAAAATAAAATCCGTCACCTTATCGGATCGGACTTTTAAAGTAGAAAATTGGATTTGGATCGATCAAAATCTGATGCAAATCTAATCCGTTGACTAGCCAATTTGCCAGTGTGTATCTAAATGAAATTTATGTTTTTGATCATAATAGCATTTCCAATAGATTTTTTATTCTCACTCAACTCTTTATTTTATAGATTCAACCACCAAAAATCAAGTTTCAATAGACTCTATATTTAGACTAGCTAAAATAAAAAAACTTATTTAATTCTCTATATTTGAAAAACTCAACTCACTCTCTATTTGATTTTTTATAAATGAAAAAATGACATTCTTCATTAACTTTTATTGACTATAAGCCTATTTTTCCACTAGAAAAGAGAATTTATTGGACTTGTCTAAAATATTCCACTTTCTATTTTAAATTTTTATCAAAGGTGATCTTTATTTTTTTTTTAAAAAAAATCTTTCTAAAAATACAAGGTACTATTGGAGATGCCCGTCCATGTATTTACGACATTTCTCTTGTAATTAGAAAAAATCATAGAGAAAAAAATATTAACTAGATTACCTAATGTAAGACATATTAGGCATGGTGGGACCACTTTTGAGCAACAAAAAAAGACAATGGTCATATTCTTGTTATTATATATAATGTGCGTATTTTTTCTATGCGTGGTCTGTCAAAAAAAAAAAAAAAATTTAGATTCCCAAGGTTTGGTGGGTCAAAGGGGAAGTGCCAAAAGAGGCCCATATGTATGTGAGCTGTATTTTGTTTTCTTTCTTTATTTTGTGGAAAACGGTTCCCCAGCTAACTTCATTAGGGTTTCTTTATCTTCCATCCATTCATTTCTCTTCACATCTCCTAAGCATCACAACTTTTTAGTCCTTCTTTTTCTTTTTTCCCATTTTTTTTATTTTCTATTTTCTCGTATGCTATCTATGTCTTTTGAATTTTCTTTAGAATACCCCTCGTTGATATCGAGGCTCAAGATAACTTAAATAAATGCACATGAGTGTGTATCCATCACCTTGATCATATAAAGCTGTTGAGTAGGTCCAATTCCATGTCTGCCTTCAAATTTGAATTTAGAACTTTATATAGGTTCCCAGAAGNAAAAAAAAAAACGAATATGAGTTGTCCACACTTCATAAGCTTTAATTCAAATTCGTCACAAAGTCTAGTTTATTCAATTATTGTGGTTTGTGAGTAAGTTTGTGAATGAATTAGATTTTAATCTAAATTCGATCTAAATTTAAATACAATTAGTTAGATATGAATTTATATTTTTTTAACAATAATTCTGACTCGAATTCAAATTCAGTATTTTATATGTACACAAATTTGATATACCTACATACATACGATTCGATTATGATTCAGTTCAAATTATTTATATATTTGTATATAAATAAGTTAAAAGTTATCAGGATTGGATCGAGTCGAATTTCAGATTGAAATTTGAAATTATTAACGAATTCGAATATAGACCCACAAAAATAAAATCCGTCACCTTATCGGATCGGACTTTTAAAGTAGAAAATTGGATTTGGATCGATCAAAATCTGATGCAAATCTAATCCGTTGACTAGCCAATTTGCCAGTGTGTATCTAAATGAAATTTATGTTTTTGATCATAATAGCATTTCCAATAGATTTTTTATTCTCACTCAACTCTTTATTTTATAGATTCAACCACCAAAAATCAAGTTTCAATAGACTCTATATTTAGACTAGCTAAAATAAAAAAACTTATTTAATTCTCTATATTTGAAAAACTCAACTCACTCTCTATTTGATTTTTTATAAATGAAAAAATGACATTCTTCATTAACTTTTATTGACTATAAGCCTATTTTTCCACTAGAAAAGAGAATTTATTGGACTTGTCTAAAATATTCCACTTTCTATTTTAAATTTTTATCAAAGGTGATCTTTATTTTTTTTTTAAAAAAAATCTTTCTAAAAATACAAGGTACTATTGGAGATGCCCGTCCATGTATTTACGACATTTCTCTTGTAATTAGAAAAAATCATAGAGAAAAAAATATTAACTAGATTACCTAATGTAAGACATATTAGGCATGGTGGGACCACTTTTGAGCAACAAAAAAAGACAATGGTCATATTCTTGTTATTATATATAATGTGCGTATTTTTTCTATGCGTGGTCTGTCAAAAAAAAAAAAAAAATTTAGATTCCCAAGGTTTGGTGGGTCAAAGGGGAAGTGCCAAAAGAGGCCCATATGTATGTGAGCTGTATTTTGTTTTCTTTCTTTATTTTGTGGAAAACGGTTCCCCAGCTAACTTCATTAGGGTTTCTTTATCTTCCATCCATTCATTTCTCTTCACATCTCCTAAGCATCACAACTTTTTAGTCCTTCTTTTTCTTTTTTCCCATTTTTTTTATTTTCTATTTTCTCGTATGCTATCTATGTCTTTTGAATTTTCTTTAGAATACCCCTCGTTGATATCGAGGCTCAAGATAACTTAAATAAATGCACATGAGTGTGTATCCATCACCTTGATCATATAAAGCTGTTGAGTAGGTCCAATTCCATGTCTGCCTTCAAATTTGAATTTAGAACTTTATATAGGTTCCCAGAAGGTTTAGTTCCCTCTTCAAGGAAGGAGCATGATTTTTTAT